TACTTCCCTTGCTCCCTAAAATTTTATTATTATAATTACGCCTGAGTAATCTTATTTTTATAAGTACGAGATTTATGAATAATTACACTAGTAATAGTAATAATTAATTTACCTTATTTAACTGACCTATAATTAATGCTTTCCAAATGAAAAAAGATTTCCTCCATATCTTCGTCCATGGCCAAGCGAAAAACACCATATACTAATCCGAAAAAAATTGAAGATGAATTCGAATAAAATTGCAGATTAAGGAAGTTCTTAAGTGTGGAGACAGATTTGAAGACAGGCGTCGAGGATTTGAGTAGCGAGGTCTGCGAGAGGGACAACATGTGGAATTCAATTCATGAGCAAAGGTGGTTGTGAAGTGGTGGAGACTGGAGAGTGGTTGCAGCTGCGGTGCCACCAGCGGTGGTGGGGAAAGGTACGGTGGCGTGGAGGTGAGATACAGCAAGGCCAGGGTTTCAGATGGGGTATGCTTTGGCGGTGATGAGACAGGCTCTATTTACAGCCAAGTATTGTGACAATCCAGTTTAGATTATTTGAGTTTGGACACTGATTTGATGTTTGGTCTGAGAAAGCGAGCCTTTGACAAATAAAATCGATATCTTCGTCAAGGTCTTATGTGCGATAATGTTTTGTTTATCTACCGTTTATGTTGAGTATAACTTATTATTATAATATGTGATATGAAAATTTATTTGTTGTGTTAATAGATTTGGATTGGTCTTTAACGTTTTACGCTTTTTAATCAATTTGAGGAATATGAGTTGCTCATACCCAATCCAATAATGAAACGTATCAAAGTTCTCAGTGACGATGACAATAGCAAGAGTGATGCCACAATAAACGAGAAGCAAGAGAAGTGATGCAAAAGTGATGATGATTCGCCCGGATCGCTACCAGTTACTACCTCAAATTAAAAATGATAGAATTCGTGTTTGTTTTTGGAATTTTATGAATCGACTTGGATCTATGTATACTGAGATAATTTGTGGTCTTACTGTATGATTAATTTTTTTAATATATATGTTTTAGTATGATTTTTATCGTGCACTATGAGATTGGAATATTTATGTGCTGATTTTGAATTTTCTGTCGAATGTGATTTTTTAAGTTTCAATAAAAATGTTACTATTTGACTTTTTTTTTATTTAGAGCTTACGTTCTGTATTTTGAAACATGACGGGGATAAGTGAACATATACAGTTAATATACTTTAGTTTATAAAAGTATATATCATGTTTGAAGATATACGTAATATATACGCAATATATATTGGTGATTATACTTTAGTAAACATATGCTTTAGGATATACTTTGGTAAACATTTCCTTTAGCATATACGCAAAATATATATTACCATACAATTACATTAACACAACATATACTTATTATTTTAACACAACAATACCATCTAGTGGGATATGAATACCCGCTTGTTTTCACTCAATTAAATGCACATATAGCTATATTAATAAACCTAAATGTAGTAAGTCTTATGTGATATTGTTCATACAATATAAAGTAGGTCTTCCATGTAAATTTTTACACAAAATATATATTAGTTAAACAGAAAGTATTCTCAAATATTATAAAGATTTATAAACACAAGAAACTCATTGAATAATAACCAAATCCGATCACGAACTCGCTCGACAACTCGTAATCATCCACCCAATCGTACGTAATCTACAAGAAATTTAAATTTCAGAAATATCTTCGTGACTAGCGAGCCACTGGCACTCGTGGCAACAGGAGGAGAAGCAACTGCTGCTCTAGATCGATAAATGTGGCGAGGAGATTGCGTATCTAAAGGAAGAAAAATCGATGAATCTAAGTGTGTGGAGGCTGATTTAAAGGCGAGCGTCAAGGGTTTGAGAAGAGAGGTCAGCGAGAGGGACGAGATGTTGAATTTCATGATCAGAGACAGTTGTGAAGCGGCGGCTGCAGCAACAATAGTGGTGGGGAAATATATGGTGGTGTAGAGTTGAGGTACGGCAAGGCCGAGTTTCAAAGGATGTGCTTTGGGCTAGTAAGCTTGTTTTTTAATCAATTTTTATTCCTCTTTAATTAGCCTAATTAAAGGGGAGAATTATTTGGAAAGATAAGAACATTCGTAATCTTGAAAATAATTATACCCCAACATTCTTAATTGATAAAACTTCTCACCACTAATATATATGAAAATAAGGCTTATATATGGTATAAGTATGTAAATTTCCCGAAATATTTCGTATACAAACACACCCTTAATTTCTCTTTTGGGAAATTTTCATGCCTCCTATAAGAATTACAAAATATTACATTCTTACAAGTGGAACAATTTTAATTGTATCTATACCTAAAATCTAGGATTTTATTAGAGATATACCTCAAGTAAATAACCATACAAATAAAATCTTCCACCCTTAATTGGCGCGTACATTCCGTTACAAATAAAAAAATAAATCTGGTTCATGTATGGAATGATTATATCTCCAAAATAATNTTATGCCCATGAAATTTGAATTTAAACCATATTCATCGTCGCTATTCAAGAAAAAAAAAAGCAGGAGGGTCGCTTGGAAGTTTCATCAAGAACAATTCACGCAATATATACTGCCAAAAAACGTGAAAGTACGATAAACAGAAAGTATATTTTGTGATTTTAACGTTCATTCAACTGTACATGATTCTGATTTTACCGAAAATATACCGGAAAAAATGAGGACGTGAAATTTTATAAAGAAAAAAAACGAGACGGGTCGATCATAAATATTTATAGTTTATTAACAGTATATTTCTAGTTTAAAAAAATATCTTTCACGTTTTTATTACAGTATATTTTTAGTTTATTAACAGTATATTTCTAGTTTAATTTTTTTTCGTCTCCTCCTTCAGAATTTAACTTTCGAATTCAATTCTTATTCATTGTTCATCATTTTAAAATAAGCTTGGAAAAGACGTATAAAGATTTTGGTCGTTCTACATTTTTAAATAAGGTTGTCAAAGACATATGAAGATTTTGGTGATCCAATTAAAACACGTAATATAACAAAATAAGAGAAGCAAAAAAAGATTTCATATCTAGAATTTTTTGTGTAAAAATCACGAGAATTTAGTAACAAAAAAGTGAAAAAGATTAGCCCAGGTCGTTGCAACTTGCTCACGACGTCATCCTTTCGGAGAAAAGGATAACGGATTTTTTCTGGTACTCTCTTTCTCGCTAGTGCTACTGTCAAGTCTTTTTCCTCTTCATCAAGTCAAAAGGCAAAGTCTACCCCCGAATTCCACTCCGGGTGGGAAAAAATGGATTTCTAGCTCTTTGGATGTTGTGATTCCGCCTTTCCAGTAGCGAGTGAAACTCTGTGAATGGGCAAGGCCGAATTGGAATCCTATCGTCATAAGTGAGAATGGCCTATATTTCATCTTCGGTGCCATTGCTGGAAGAGAGAGAGAGAGAGAGAGAGACAGAGAGAGAGAGAGACAGAGAGACAGAGAGAGAGAGATTTTACCTCTTTTCGGTGGGAGAATGAAATGGATGGAAGTTGGAACGATGCACATCCAATAGGGAAGTATCTTTGGGAAATTATTGCACATTCAATAGGGCAATATTCTCCATAATTAACAAAATAAAAAATATGGTATATGTGCAAATAAGTATGCAGAATGTAGTAGAGATGCAAATAAATATTTATTGTGTGTATAAATGTAATATAAAGTGTATTGAATGGTATATGGTGCAAATTCCTCTTCTTGCATATGTACCGTGATTGAACATAAAAAATTGCAAGTTTACATAATTTTAAAATTATTTGCGCATGTACAAAATTAAAGCAAAATAATTAGGTAGTTGCTAGATACTAAAACACTGATATATAATTTCCTAACTAAATCCCGTAACTGAAAGGTTGCACCATAATAATGAAATACCATAATTGAATGGATTTACATTAATAACAAAATGTCATCCCTATGCTCTCTCTCTCTTTCATTCCCGTAACTTAATCTTAATCTGGTATATATATTAGGAAAAAAAAGACCAAACACTGATTATATACTCAACATAACCATATACATATATACATATACATATACGTGATTGTGTCTACGAAAACATATATATACTGAAAATATACTACCTATATACATAACATATACAATATATAAACATCACATATACAGTCTTGAAAACAAGCCCCATATTATGTAAATATATCATTTGTGCACATATACATAACATAATCGTGTTATATACAATCTGTTCATTGCTCTCTCATCCCCAGTCGTCCTCTTTCACTTCTTCTTTTTACCTTTCTTCGCCGACGGAGTCCAGTCGGCCCTTGCCGTGGGGCCCACCTTCTCCTCCTCCTCTTCCTCTGTCATGATTTTCCTCTTCTTCACGGCCTCGGGCGTTTTGACCTCGCTCAGCCTCTTCGTCTTCTTATTCCTCGCCTTCTCCACAAAACCAATCTTGTACGAGATCTTGAACAATCGTTTAGCTTTTCCCACACCACACATGCTCTGTTTCCCTTCTCTTCGGCATCGAATGGTTGAACAACGAAAATTCAAATTTAGGGTTTAGAGAATTTTGGTTTATAGTTGTTCAAGTATGAATTAATAGAGACAAATGAAAGTCAATGAAAGGAATGATTAAAGTAAATTAAGATATACACATCCCTTTGAAACACGCAACTGCCATAAATTTTTATTTCACTAAAATATATCATATTAAAACTGCCACCTATGTGTCTATTTTAATTGTCTCCGTCTTTTTACAAATAAGTAGTCTAACTTCGTACTTGTACAATAAAAATTTGTTGGCACCGTATGGGGAGTAAATTTCTCCTCTTATTTCAACTCTCAACACATAGGCTTAGGTGAGGTCGGTTGAGCGCTCGGTTATATAACTGCCCAAACTTTGCTGTCAACCCAACTGGCCCAACCCAAATTGCATTAACTAACCCAGCCCACCAGGAACCTACCCTCGTGGCGGTCAATCCAACCCGGCCCAACAAAAGCTGCACTTGACAGACGGCGTCGTCGTCTCATCTCATGTCTCATCACGGCATCGATTCTCTTCTTATAAATCCCTCAAATCTCTTATCAGCCATAGCCAAATCCTTATCTTCACCCGAAACTCTCAATCCTAAGTCCCAACACTCACCAACCAAATAAAACCTCAAATTCATAGCAGCCCTTTATCCCTTACCGCAAACAAATGTCGAAAAAAGGAGCTGCCCTCCAAAACGACGTGCCGTGGCGAGCTTCATCCGCCGCAAAACCTGTCCCGAAAATCCACCACTCTCCGGTTCTTAGAGTCCCTCAGACTCCTGAGTCTAGTTATGGCCTCTATGTGATGAAGGTTGGTGTGTGTGTGTATGTGTGTTGATGGTTGCTTGTAAATTTTGTTTGGTGGATTTCTGGTTTTGGTATCTGGACTTCTATGCTCGTTTTTGTGGCCATTAATGGCGGTTTATTTTGGGGAAGGGTTTGCTCTTTGCGTGTAAAAACGTAATCTTTATGGTATGTATATTTATTCTGTATTTTTCTTTGCTCTTGTGAGCCTGTATTAAAAGTTGGAAGTTATGTAAATTGGAAATGAACATCTCAAATAGCTATGCAGATGGATTGTAATTCTTATTCCCATTTTGTTCTGTACTCAGTGTGTGTTCCTTTTTCTGGTGGCTTCTACTGATATTACTTGTTAAGATTATTTTGACACTGAAAGAATAGCTGCAACTGATTGGTCCTCGAAATGGATGTTTTTTAAATAGATTATTGTCACTTTGATATTCTTAAGTTGCAGTAGTTATGAACCCATTGTCATTTTATTTATGGTATTGAACTGCATTTTGGATGGTAATTGTTCAGCATGCAGATCCAATTGGGAGTGGGCTAGGGAAAGTGGCTGTAGTTGAAGCTGCCGGGCCCGACTGCATTGTGCCTGGACTAGCTACGCCCATCAAATTACTTGGGGTAAAGGTACATTCTTTTCTTTTTCTCTGCCTTTCTTGAACAAGTTCTGTGCCTTTTGTTATCTGAAGGTTATTGAATTAACAGTAAGCAAAACAGAAGATGATTATTACTCTTACCGTTAAATCTGACGACTTGGTCATCTTAAGAGGTTCGTTGTAAACACATTTGTGTGTATGCTGTTCTACTACTTGACTTGGAAGGCAATAGAAATTATAAGGATGTGGTTGCATATTTAGCAATATCCATAGATGATAAGACAGGGATAAGTCTATGCTTCACTTTCTAGTTAAACCTTAGTGATATTAAAAAGTATGAATTGTAAGAATCGGAAATGACCTTTGAACCTTAGTGATAAGTCTATGCTTCACTTTCTAGTTAAACCTTAGTGATATTAAAAAATATGAATTGTAAGAATCAGAAATGAACTTTGAACCTAAGAGTTGCTTTCACCAAATTCAACTCCTTAAAACTCCGATTTGGGCATTAGGTTTTTTAAATGTTTGGATGTTACCTTTTGTTCATTGTTCTCCAAGTAAGTTTTCTGGATCTTCATAAACTGCAGGTTTTTTAAATCCTGTTGAGATGACCTGCAATGAATTTTGAGCCTTTTAGGTGGAGCTGTAATGTAGGAATGTAAAATCTCGGATTTGTGTCGTGTGTGCAGGTATGGCCCATTGAAGTTGACCTGAAGTTTATGGAACCAGTTGGTCGGCAACTCCAAGCAGTTGGAAGGGTTAGTTCCTTTCTCTTAGATTATGCTTCAACCGACAAAACCCTTTTTTTTTTAAAGAATAAATATAAAAGAGAAAAAATGCTGATGCATTATTTTACATTATCTACTGCATTGCAATGAATAAGTTGAAGAGATCAAAGCGGCTCTAGATTTTGTCGAATCATTCAGTATACTTTGTTTAATCAGGCATAGCTTCACGTGCAAATACCTCTTTTCTCGCTAACAAATGCTTCTTGATACTTGTTACCTTATTTGTGTCATTCGTTTTT